CTTTGAACTATACCAAATTACGATGTAGCTGTCAACGCATGCTGCCATACAAATTCAACACATCAATTAATTGGAATCTCAAAATCTGTGGTCATCTATAGAATCAGCCATTGATTGGCCTCTGTTTCACAAAAATGGAAACATTATTCTGAATTCTGATTCTTGGAGTGAATGGTTTTTATTAATCGGCACGTAATAGCAAGAGAACCAAAATCATAGATTTTAATGGGACACCGGAACATACCAGAACAGGTTTTTTTTTTTTTTTTTTTTATGAACAAAAATTGTCATAATTTCTTTGGTTTTATTTAAGGAAAGAGCAATCCTGTACACTTATAATTGTTGGTATATGTGTGTACGTTTACAGGATATTCAAGATTAATATGCTAAATTAGTATTTGAAACTTGAAAGAATGAGTATCAGTGAATTCAATTTTTAAAATTATAATAAAACTATTATTTGAATCTTTAAAATTATTGAATATATTTTAGTCTTTATTATTACGACTTCGTGTTAAAATGTTATTTTCGTAATTTTAAGAATTAAGTTAACTGATGTCTGTAATTTGGAAACTTAGTTGATGTATTACTTTTATATATACATAAAATTATTTCATATCACTTTATTTATTACTTACTTTTATTTATTGAAATGTTATCGTTATTTATTTTCTTCTACTACACTTTCTTTACGCAAAACCAGCTACTAGTTTGACCATGTGCTCCCTTTTCACTTTCTTTATACCAACCAATTTAACATTTTTAAAAAGATGTAAAAATATTTTTTAATGGCATAAGAAGGAATTAAGAAAATCCGATACAATTAACATATAATTATACCCTAAAGCAAGCTCATAATTTAACTTTATATGTGAAGATTTTGTTGAGAGAGATAATAGTTATCTTGATAATTTTTGCACCACAAAATTATTAATTTCCAAGTTTCAGTTGATAGATAATTTTGTGAATAAAAAAAGGGCATATCTGTGTCATCATCATGAATTGTGTTGCAGTTGTGAATTCGGAGTCAAGATATTTCATTCTAAGGAAGGATTTAGCTAATGATAATATAAACACATTTAGCTGAGCTGGAATACCAATCCAAATCCAATAGCCTTGTAGTTTGCAAATCATAAAAAATAAATACTATAACAAGAAACATTAATTTGTCAACTATAATCAATTTTTACTTTATTTATGATATTCCTTCAGGAGAATAATTATTTGGTTATCGCGTGCACTTGGATTTTAGCATTTATTAAGACAACTGTCGTTTTTTAAAATACCTATAAATTAAGGATGTTTATTGATTTGAACTAATTCGATGAATTCAACCATACCATTTCACTTGTATCGGTTTCTACTTTGTACTAAATTAAACTAATGAAACTTGTTTATAATTGTTTATAACTTAAGTGTTTAACATAATTAGTATATTTAAGATTCAAAATCAATAATTAATTGAACAACTTCGTATTAATTAATGTATGTGGTCGTTAATAGCATTATTATTGTTACTAATTTTAAGTAAAAAAAAAAATTGCTGGAACAAGGTGACAATGTCAACAATGAAAAGGAAAGAGTGGAGAAAGAAGATAAGACATAGCGCATATATAT